TCCGACCAACAGATGTAGTGTGATATCAACAACTACCAGCTGCACTCTGTATGAAGAATGGAGACGTGTTTTGCTGTGCCAAGAGATTATAAGAAGCCAAGCGTACCAAGGTGAGCCTAATCGTTTCAAAATGTAACACAACATACAAGTGTGGACTAAAATGTATCGTAATCATTGTTATTATTTTATAAGGAACAATAAAAGTGACTTTTATCCACCTCCAATACACCAAACATCAATAATTGTTGCAGTGTCATTTTACTGAAATTGCTTCCCACTGTCTCTTGGCTGATTAAAATCTTCATAAGTTTGCTGGTATATGGAACATTTTGGCACACTGAGCTGGGCTCTATGACTCCTTCCAGAGGGGAGAAGCTAATAGTAAATTATTTTTAGTGTGTAGTAGTAGTAAAGTAGGGACTTTTTCTTGTGTCTGCACTCCTGTAACCAGAGAGGCACATGTTCCAGCTGGTGGGCTGGAACATTGTACCAGCATTAAAGTGAGCTTTTACATTTAAATTGCTTTTTTTTTTGTAAGTAGAGAGTTACCACCCCCGTCACTGTTTTGCTAATCAATGCGTCATTTAAAGCTGTAGCTATAGATTGCCTCACTTGAAATCATAAGATTCGTCAGCCGATAGATGCTTCACGAGGTTCTAAGCTGGCTCTTATGTGCCCCTTGAATTTTTGATTGTTTAGAATGACATATTCATATTTATTGCACAGATTGTGGTGCATCGGGTTGTTGGGGGGGTTTTTCAGGCCACTTTTCAGAGATAACTGCTCATTTTCTTCTATTATAGTCGACTTCCAGCCACAAACGCACAGAGGGGAAAAACGGAGGGACCCTAACCACATATTAGCTTGTTTTTCTTGGTAGAATTGCTTAAAATGAGGGAGTAGCGTGATTGTAAATGATAATAATCAAGCAGCTCTTTCCATTTTGTCTTTAGTGTCACTTAAATCTTGTATTTACAGGGCTGGGCAGTGTGAGGAAGTGTCTCACCACTGTTGCCTGGTGACTGCAGCACAGCAAGTGCACCTAACAAGCCACAAGCCATCACCGGGCTTGTTTCTTACCAATGCACGAGTAAACATCACCCAGCAGACTGTGCTAGCAGTGAAATTGTGTGGAAACTGAATTTTGAGTTGATGTTCAGGGGGAGGCAAGCATCCCCGTGACGGACTGTTCATCTTGTTATTTTATTTCCACTACTTTAATATCAGACCATGGAAATTCTTTGACTGTAATGCTTGTGGTCCTGATGGGCTCCTTAGAGCAGTGGTGCAGTATGCCACCTGGTAGAGGACATAGTAAATCTCATAGGAGGGCATCACTGAATTTGAATTGCCATCCAAGGGCGGATATGACATGCAATATTACATCTTTTATAGAAAGCTACTTTTGTCTCTCATTAATCAGTTTAATTCGTGTCTCTTATGTCTTTATTAAATCCTTGGCTTCTTCTGCGAAGTGCACCACAGCCAGCTGGCTCTTGTTCTCATAAAAAGAAGTGGAAGTGGAAGGCAGCCAGCCACTGAGATCGAATCTGGGATATGTCTTGGCCTCTAAGATGGACAGAGAGAAAGGGGGGTGGGGGGGCTTGCCACAAAGAAAGTGGTTTCCTTCAGTCTCGGCTTTTTATGTACGACAGTAAGGCATGCACAGCCTCTTCCATGCAGATCTCATGTGGGAATTCATTGCCTTGGTAGTCAAAAACCAATGAAAATGTCTTTGCTGAACTGTGGCCTCCGAGAAAATAGAGAGAGCTGCAAAGTGACGAGAGAGCACTTTTTGAAAGTTTTACATATGCAGCTTTTTTTGTCTCCATTTAACGCTTAACTGTATCTGTGCAGACACACCAAGAAAAGAGTTTCACTACCTCGAATAGCAAAATGAGCTTTAGATAGCATATAACAGAAAAAAGTGAGTCTCTCCAAGAAGCTCCAAAATCCAAATTGCGAATGTTTGCCTCCACCATAAAAAAATAATATGTTTGCTGGTTTTAGTCTGCTGATCATTTCACCACTTCAGTGCGCCCCAGGGTGGCTGTGGCTACAATGTAGCTTGCCATCACCAGTGTGTGACTGTGTGTGTGAATGGGTGGATGACTGGTTGTGTAAAGCGCTTTGGGGTCCTTAGGGACTAGTAAAGCGCTATACAAATACAGGCCATTGCTATTACTTCAGTCGAGGATAAAATGCCTCAATAAATTCGTTACCAGGAAGCGAATCTCTTAAAAATAAGATTTTAATCTCTGTCTTTCACAGGAGTCCTGGACCAAGGCAACATTAGTAAAGCATACGTTTCAGTAGCAAACATGGACACACAGGCGAGCCCTGCCTGGGTTTAAGCCCAGAACCCTCCTCCTCTGAGGCTTAGACGCCATACTGGAATAAATGCTCTATGAATTTTCATAAAAATTGTTAAGGACGTCCCTGCTTTACGGTGGATGACATAAGACTTGATTATGATTATCTGATTTTTCTTCTAAAGCACCAGAAAGTAAAACATGTTCAGCCAACTGTTTGGTTTACTACCAAATATTAAACAGCGATGATTAAGCACATAAACGTGAAGATGCTTTTACTGTTATTGTGAGTGTGTGAGTAGTCAAGCCCAGGTGGGAGGAAGTTTAGACCTGAAAACCTGATGATGCACAACATTTTGTCTCTATTTTATGGGTCGAAGGACACATTTTCTTGAAACGGTGCTCTGGAGGGCAACAAGACTTAAAGTAAATTTGCTCTTGTTTGGTAGGTGTGTCAGACGTGTTATCTTATAAGCAGCAACAGGCCGCCAGTCCATCACATGCTAACAAAGACAGACCGAAAAGCACTCTTTCCTCCAAATTTCACATTCTTTCTGATTTGATTTGAGTTTTATTTTGTTCAATTTGTGCATTTTGTGTCACCAGCTATAGTTTTTCTGCCCTTTATATGCATCCTCTATAGGTTGCCAGGGATCATGACGTAGTAATAGTTGGATTTGAACATTTTTGATTACTAAGACCTTTTTTATGCTCCTTGATCTCTTGTATTGAGGTAAATGAACTCAAGTCGGCTTCGGGCTATAGGCCATCTTTCCCTCATCATTGGTTTTCTGGCAGCCTCAGAGGTGTGCAATCAACCCTCCTCTGCTCCTACAAAACATCTGACTCAGGATAGAACCAATACTTCCTCCCTGAAGAGAACGGATCTTCCTCCATGAGTATTGACTTGATGAGAGCTGGTTCGAGCTGGTAACGACCCCGGTGGGCTGAGGAGTGCTTTATTTTTCCTGCTCGTTAACTGATGCTGATGAACTCAATGACCCACATTTCTGATATCACAGTCCCGGCTGTGGTGACAGCTGCTACCTGCCTAACCGGCCCCTTTTCTGACCTCGGGGGGGTCAGTAAAACAGCAGAGACTCATTCTGGTCGCCTGCATGTACACGGAGCACAAAGACTCCAAAATGTTTCATAATACATTAAATGAACACCCTTTCAGATTAAGCCCAGTGCTTCTCTAAAAATGTGAAAAACACAGTCACTCACAATTCAACAATAAAAAAATATGGGTTTTTTTTCTTGTGGTTTTACTTATTTGAAAGGTGTCTTTACCTCGTGCCAAGTCAGAAACATTTAGTGCATCATGTTTCAGGTTGTCTGGAGTTTGCCTAACAGCTACAGGGGATAACCATCTGAATCTGTAATAACACAGACCAGCACACAGCTTGAACTCTGAAACCAATCGTGCATTCATGTGGTTGGATTACTTACAGAGACACGGTGACATTATCAGAGCTATATGAGGTGGATTCTTTGATATTTCTTGCTCCAGAAAACATTATGCAACCTCAGAATACAGACTGAACTGAGTAGATAGGATCAGCAGGGACTCTAGATATCTATCTTGTAATAAACTGTGACCCGCTGGGAAGACTACTGATTAAATATTTGACTGCATATTACATCTCCCTAGGGAGCATTTGGTGTACAGCAATATTTAGGTAGGTGATATGTTTCAGAGTTAAGAATGCAAGTGCCCAATGATCTTAAGCAGAACATCTAATTATCACTGACAGGAATTATCTTTTGACCTGCCAATGGTTTGCTTAGGCTGATTTGGAGTATTCATTAGGCAAATATGAGAATAATTTGATCTTAGTTAGATAATGAAAAAGAAGAGTAGACCAATTTTAGTCATTTGTTTGTTTGTTTTTAATGAGCCCATTCATTGTTGTTGTTTGTTTTTTACCTGTTGCCATTTGTCTGTGGATAAAGAGGGTTTTTTTTTCTTCTTTTAATTTTTAACCTCTTATCTCTCATTTACCTAATTTTTACAGTATGTGCACTTATAACTTTGCTAATGTCTTTCATGACTTTTTCTTACCAATTAAAATAAAAAAAAATCTAAACAAAGTTACAAAGTGCTTCAACAAACAACACATAAAATATTTAAGAAGAGATAAAAGTGAAACAACATTAGGGCTGGGAATGCTGAAACAGAAGGAAAGAAAAGTGGAAATCAAAGATAAAAATTGAAAACAAATAAAAATTAAGAAATTTTAAAAACTCACTAGCAGAATAGTAAGTCTGGTTATAAGAATATGTCTTTAAGATGGATTTAAAAGTTGACAGTGAGCTTGTTGATCTCCTCGGGGATGTTGTTGCAGAGAGTGGGTGTCCTGGCAGGAAAAGCCTGCTTGGTTCTCAGCCCAGACTGTGGGATGGCCACCAGAGCCTTGGTCGAGGGCCTTGGGTCACAACCGGGGGCGCACAGTGGCAGAAAATCTCAAATATATTTTGTTGCGAGCACAGAGCGGGCTTAAAACATTAAATTATTTTTATATAATTTAATTAATGGCTATTTAATTAATGGCTAACCAAATGAAGACAGGCAAGGATAGATGGATAGATAGATAGTTGGACTCAGGAGCCAAAATGAATGAAGCGCTCACCGGAAATGTGATGACGTCGCTTTAGTGGTCTCTAGGTCGGGGCGGGGCTTTGAGTTTCTCTAGCAGAGCCTTGCTGTCGCACTTTTGTTAATAAAGTTTCCCTTTGAAGCCAGTCAAGATGGCAGAGTACGATCTCACCACCAAGATAGCACATTTTCTGGACCGGCATTTGGTTTTCCCTTTGCTGGAGTTCTTGTCTGTGAAAGAGGTATGGAGGTTTTTGCGTGATATGTGTAAAAGTAAAATGCAGTTGTTTATTGGCGGGGTTTATAGGGTAAAATATGATTGTGGCCGGCAGCGATGCGACCTAGCGAGCTAACTGGCTAACAGTCACGTTAGATAGCCGGTCATCTAGGAACTGCAACTGGGTATACATTTTAGTCCTTTATAACCAGATTATTGTTTTAATGCTAGTTGTAGACACCATAAGTGGTTAGAGAATGTATAAAACAGGCATGCAGTAGGTAACTGGCTTATGATTGTTATCCCGCGTGTTAGCTTATAGCTTAGCGACTATAGTGAGCACATAGCATAACAGCTGACTGAATGGGAGGAACCCCATTCACGTGTCTACTGTGATAATCCTGGCGCTATTAAATAGCGTTTATGCCGGTGTTTCATTATTTGAATTCGCGTTTCAAAGGGAACCAATCCTGTGAATATGTGTGTTGTTGTAACAGATCTACAATGAGAAGGAACTCCTCCAGGGAAAGCTGGACCTACTCAGCGACACAAACATGGTGGATTTCGCCATGGATGTGTACAAAAATCTGTATCCGGACAAGGAAATCCCACACTGTAAGGAAACAGCCCAACTATTTGCTTTGTTATAACACAGTAAGAAATGTTGTACCACAGACGCATTTGATTTGTTCACAATGCCTCTCACCACAGATGGGTTACAGACTCTTTAAGCTAGCAATGGTTTTTCCTGAGTTGAACAGGGTTTTCTTGTGAATAAAAACAAAGAGATCTTGATTTTCCACTTAAATAATTGAGTCGGGTTTAATTTAGTAAAGCTTAAATGCAGTTTAGTTATTTAAATGGGTTACAGTAATGTGCTTTATGGTAACACAAACTCTTTACTTTAACTATATGGGAACCAACCATTGTTATGTGTTTGGTCAACCCCAAAGGCCCCTTTTGATCTAGGAGAAACCCCTCTTATCTTATGTATTGTTTCCTTAATCTTTAAGTTTAAGCAAAGTTTAGCATAGAAAGCCAAATAGAAGCCAGACCTTCGTATTGTAATTTTAATTACTGTCCAGCTACTGATGAATCACACTTGGACAGTTTAGAGTTAAGAGATCATGAAATGTTAGTAACATAATATGAACTTAGGTGGTTAAAGTGAACGTTTTGCTTTGGTTTTGTAGTGTCCGGCATTCAATTATTTGTTTTCACCAAAGTAAATCTGTCTACCTGCTGCTGACTTGTCTTTGATGTGTTTTACTGTTCTGCTTCAGCCTTGAGGGAGAAGAGAAGTACTGTGGTGGCTCAGCTGAAGCAGCTCCAGTCAGAGACGGAGCCAATTGTCAAGATGTTTGAAGACCCGGAGACCACTCGACAGATGCAGTCCACGAGGTCAGAAAAATTCGTCTCTCTCAGAAGCCTTGTTCATTCTTCACTGCAGCTCTGATCAGATTACTCTTGTGATTTTATTTATGTGATCTGCAAAAGTCGTCTAGCTGTTTGACATCGTCTCATCTGTTTGTTTTAATCTTCACCAGGGATGGGAGGATGCTGTTTGACTATCTGTCAGAAAAGCACAATGTGAGTATTTAAATGTTAGCCGTGTATGCACAATGTGTTTCGTATTTGGTAAAAGGTGCACTGCATTTTAATCTTGGAAGTTGGGAGCTAGATGTGTGCTTTAGTTTCCATAACAACCAGCTGTCACGGTGAGCCAGCGGGACTGTTATCCAAATCTCTGAATCCTTAAACATCAAACATGATGCACCAGTGTGCTCATTACTAATTCAAAAATCAGAGTAAATGCTTGTTGCTTTCTAATTAATTTCTTTTCTTAATTTTAGGCTTTTAATCTAACGTACAGATAAATTACAGTTCTTATTACCGACTAGTCAGTGCATGCCAGCATTGTCCACATCGTGTGCATTAGAAAAGGGGGCTTGTTGTCAGTGTGGGGGGTAAGGCAGGGAGGGGAGGGCTTTGTTTTACTAAAAAAGATGAAAGATGCTGCCACATTCACTAATCAGCCACTTGCTGTCAGCTTTCCAGCCTCTCCCTGTCAGATTTCTTAGAGAGGAAATTGATGGTAGCAGTTTTAAACTTGCAGCATTGATTTCACTGTACTGCACAGCTGTAGCCTTAATATAATTTTCATTTTAGCCTGAATCAAGCGGATGTATAATCGACTAGTTAAACAGGAGAAAAACAAGATCAGATGATAACTCGAGTAGTCTGAAAACAGAATAAATGAGACAATGTTAAACATTATGGATATTGTGCCTGTATGTAAAGGCTATTTGAACCATTACTCAGTCATTTAAGCATTTAATTGACTACTTGCGCACATCCCCACTTGATATGTTATAAAATGACAGTTTTATCCCAAAAGTTGATTTTGTTCATTTAGATTTCATCGCTTATCCAAGAGGCTTCTTTGGTCTCAGCTAACGAGCAGTGGTGCTGGTTTCTGTCGTTATTCAGCAGCATTGTTTATAAGGCTGTGGGAAATCATCTGAGACTGAAGACGTTGGTTTGAATTGAGTGAAAACGCAGGTTAACAGAATCAACTTTGGGGGATTTTATTACCAAGTTTCCTGATTATGCTTCAAGACAAGTCAAGTTTTATTATCGTACAAGTACTGATGGAAGAACTCAGTGAAATGTAGCTTCCATTTCAATCGCCTATATTTTACTTCCTAGTTTCGTCAAGAATACCTGGATACTCTTTACAAGTACGCCAAATTCCAGTATGAATGCGGTAACTACTCTGGGGCTGCAGAATACCTCTACTTCTTCCGCGTCTTGGTAAGATGTGAACTTAAAAAATTATACACTGTGTAGTAAATATGAAGTTAGATGCCTTTAATTTTTCTTAAACAGCACTTGGTGTGGTTTGATTTTGATAACTTGTTGCTGTCTGCTCAGGTCCCCTCAACAGACAGGAACGCACTGAGCTCCCTGTGGGGAAAATTGGCTTCTGAGATCCTGATGCAGAACTGGGAAGCAGCCATGGAGGATCTCACTCGTCTAAGGGAAACTATCGACAACAATGTAAGAAAATAATTAAAAAGATTGTTTGAGGTGCACATCCACTTCTCTGGTGTGCTCAAAAAAGTTGCATAACTTGTTTGGGGTTTTTTTGTTTGTTTTTTTTAAAGTGCATTAAGATGCTTTTCTGATCGGCAAACATTTGTGTCAAACGCTGGTGATGAATTAAAGCCCCCAGTCACACAGACAGGATGGTAACCTGTGGTCGATATTGAAAACGCTACAACAAAGGTGGATGTCAAGGCGACGATATACCTTTTCTAGAAGAAGTGGTTATAATGTAGGCTGTGTAAAAAATCATTTTAACAACCTGCTGCTCGGTCTGTGGCTTTTCGTGAGACTTGGGACCACGCCATTGTTTTTGTAGCATTTCACTCGTTGCTGGGTTTCAAAAAATGGCGGTTTCGATTTTGGTGAATGCAATGCTCTCAGGACTCATCGACAGCCAATCAGTGGCACATCAATGTTACATTTTTAGTATCTGCTCGGATCACTTGGAGCCCCAGCTGAGCAGGTATTGGTAGCAGGTACTGTGACCTAATGGAAAACCCTGAAAACTATGGTGAACCGCGGTGAGTCGATCCAAGTAGGTACTAATGAAATAGGGGCTGTAGTGTGACCGAGGCCTCAGTTTTGTGAATCTTGAGTCACACTGGCAGCAAAGCTTAAAAGCTCTGGCCAACCATGCTGTTCATGAGAGGCCATAGAAAGAGTTTCCTGGTGGTTTGTTTTCCACGTTTATGTGAATATAAAATAAGAAAGCACCAAATCCTGGTTAAGCATGATTAAAGTGTGTTTTACCCTTTTACCCTTGGGTTTGCTTGGGTCCCTGTGACGTAAATTTCAGCATCTGACAATTAGCGTGAGGGTCCACACAGACGTCTGCGTGTCTGCCTGTTTTTTGTGACTGTGCCGCCTTGTTCATATTACAATACACCAACCATGCATGGGAACAGACAGTAAACTTAAAAGAAGTATGAGAGGAATGACTACTCGGCCGTCGGGTCTCCAGCTTTTCGTGTCCACAACAGAGTAAAATCCAGGCCTTCGCCTACTGTAGCCCAGCTTTAGAAGGGAGGACGGTACACCTGATTTCTCACTTTCATCACGAATAGAAACCTACTGAGTCACATTTAATGCTGCTTGCAGGCAGCAATGAATGCTTTTTCCCCACATTCATTAGCACACACTACTTGATGGGTATTGGCGGACAGATACAACCGTGTGAAGTCAGAGCATTTGCCTGTTTTCAGCTTTTTATCTCTCAGCCGTAAAACACAGATGGGAGAAGTTTGTGAATGTGATAACTTGACAATAAGGCCATGTGGGGATTTTAAAATTGATACCGTAGGTGCATCTACTAATCTTGGAAGAGTCGAATTTCAGTGACCCGACCTCAAGTTTGAGGTCGAAGGTCAACCTTTCTGAAAATCTTGTGAAAGTGATAACTCCAGAAGGAAGTCCCCAGGGATTTTCTCATGTATACCATATGTGCATCTTCTAGCATGTTCTTCTTTTTAAACTCCTGTGTAGTTTTGGTTTTAGGTTTATAGTGGTAAAAAGTCAGAAATAATTCCTGGTATACAGACCAAGCTGTGCTGATGCCTGGCGTGTGGTTGTGTTTGCCGTATGCTGCGGGAAACCCCGGCCTGATGTCACATTTTCTCATGTTTTTTGTTGTGTTTCCTTTCAGTCTGTGAGCTCTCCACTCCAGTCACTCCAGCAGAGGACCTGGCTCATTCACTGGTCCCTCTTTGTGTTCTTCAACCATCCCAAAGGCAGGGACAACATAATCGAGCTCTTCCTCTACCAGCCTCAGTGAGTCACTGTATAATCAGTTATATCACAGAACAGTCATCTTTCTAATATAATGCCAGGCTTGTGCTCAGGCCACTGATGCGGTCATCTGCTTATGTTATATGGCTGTGAAACATTTTTAAACCTTTGAACATTATTGAAGATATTACTAGTTTGACGACCACCTTACTGTTGTATTATCAGTTTCTCTTTATGTGAATGCATTTTCTTGGTTCTTTTTTGAAATACAATGACTGCTGATACTACCAAATTAACTGTGAAGAATAACGTTTGTCCGGCTCCGTGCTGCCTTTGTGCTTTTCAGATATCTGAATGCCATCCAGACAATGTGCCCGCATATCCTGCGATATCTCACAACCGCAGTCATCACCAACAAAGATGTACGAAAGCGCAGGCAAGTGCTCAAGGACTTGGTGAAAGTCATCCAACAGGTAAGACCGAGAAACTGTTGATTATAGTAATTATTTCAAATGTGCCTTGAGGACTTAATCAACATGATGGCTTCTCTCTCACGCCTGAAGGAGTCCTACACATACAAGGATCCAATCACGGAGTTTGTGGAGTGTCTCTACGTGAACTTCGACTTCGACAGCGCGCAGAAGAAGCTGAGGGAGTGCGAGTCGGTAAGAAAAGCATCCAGTTTTTCGTCTTTGACGGTGTGCTTTTGTCATCGTGCACAGGCCTAAATCGCCGCACAAAAGTTGGCTGTCAGCTGGGACTGAGGGGTGATATGAAGCCAGCCTTGGTGCTGTGATCTCCTGAGTCCCAGGCATTTAACTTTGCAGCTATTCAACCCAAGCAAATCCATGTCTGGCCTGATTTGCTGGCTCTTACTTTTATTCAGTTTGATTTTCAAAGCGGAACAGCTGTCAGATTTCGGACTCGGTTGCCTTCTCTTTAAAAACCCTTGACTTCTATTTTGCAGTTGTGCTCGGGGACCACTTTGCACATTCTCGAAGCACTCTCATCAATTCGCTTTTAACCCCTCTTGTATAAATTATGCAGCGCTCGCAAAGCCTTCAACTATCCTGTCAGATACGCAGAGCGAGCGCAATGATGGAAGAATGAAGATGGTTCATTAAGAAAGTCTGTTGTCATGGATTCTGTTGGTTTGTAACACTCAAGAGGATATAAATTTACATTTTTAATTTTTCTTTCTCTAGAGATCAAAAACTTGTCTTAATTACTGTATAAACATGGTTGCTTTTGTTTTGCGGTGTGCAGTTTGGGGATTAAAGTCTTGTTGAGAACTTGATTGACAGGAAGTAGTTTGTCTGCACGGCCCTGCTTCGTGTCCTCTATGAAATATGAAAACAATCAGTGAGCTAGCAAGCTGCCTCAGTGTGGTAAATAAACTGAAGGCTGAAGTGGTGAGTGACTTAATTTATTACACAACAGCTGTTTGCGAAATGAAACCACAATATCATCTGTCTGTCATCGGTGTGTTCATAAATCTAAACTCTTGGAAGTTCGAGATCGCTCAAACATCCTTCTTCTGCGCTGCCGCTTTTATTTTTGTAGAAATGCAGTCGTACTAGTAGTACTCTGTGTTTAGTGACAGATTTCTAATCATTAGGGATTTGAATGATGTTGGTAGGTTTTAAAAAACAGTTTTGTGCTCTCCAGTGATGGTTAAAAGGGCTGAATGTCCGTGTGGGTTAAATTTAGTCATGACGATGGAGTTAAATGCTGTGTACCGTACGTAGCTGCAAGAATGAGATTCTATAAATCTTAACCAGTGTTGTTGTGAGTGGTTAGTTTTTAGTAAAGACTCTGCTTTACCAGCTCTGATGCATTGCTGTCATAACCTCAAGTCAAAAAAATGCTTGACAGAATTTCCCAAATAAGTCTGTAGTGATCAACACAGCTAGCTTCTGTTTTAAGCAGTTCTTTAAACGGGCTTAAATATTGCTGGACAAGCACCATCCACAGCTTCGTCAGTCGATAGCAGACAGACCAGCAGATCAAACAGCTCTCAGGCACTAAATGAAAGAAAGCAGGACTTAAGAGTGTAAATGTGGCGTCTGCAGAGTTTACTGTGGAAGTGTGGAGTTGATTCAGTGCGCTACGTACAACCTGAGCTAATTACTTTTGTAATGCTCCTTTTGTGTTTTTATTTCCCTTTTATTTCGTTTTTAATAGAAAGAAACAAAGTCAACATGTGACAAATGCACCTAATATAATAAACAGCATATACAATATAAAAATAGTCTCAACAACAAACACCGGTTGCTTTTAAAGTAAATCAAACACATACCTGATGATGCCTCTCGTTGCCTTTTTTGTCCTTTGGCAAAATATTTGATGTCAAAGGTGTGTGTGGGGTCATTTAAATAAGCTGTTTTCCACTGATCTGTCAAAACACTGTGGGCTTTAAAAAGCATGGATGTTTTTAACTGTAGAGAGATTACCACAGCCCTGCACATACCTGCTTAGTGATGAAGCTGAGATGTGTTAGAAGTAGCCTTTTAAAACTACATTTACCAAAACATGGAAAGTAGTATATTATTGGTACTGAGGTTGATGATAAACACACATTAACATCTTGTAGCACTTTATATATAATATGTAAGAAAAACCACTTCAGAAGCAACACACACACGAACTGATTATTAAGCACATTAATGCATAACGACACATAACGACATGTACGACACTGTTTCATTTTTTTATGGTGCGTATTTTCTTTTAGCACCAGTATTTTTGATTTATTTTTAACAGATGGTGGGCATCGCCCACTAGCAAGGTCCTGATTACGGTTTGAGGCCCACTCCCACAAACGTGAGGAAAACCAAGGGCTGTGCCATCCACTGCTGTCTGCTGTAAATATAAAAGCATTACTTACTTCAGCTGTGAGTTCTGACAGCCCTGTGTGATTATACAGAAAAAGCCTCTGTAGAAATGTGTACTGCATCGTTACTTGGATGGTTTTCACTGAGATATTTTAATATGCAGGTTTGAATAACCAGTAGCTGAAGATCTAAACCACAGAAAATATTTGCCTGCACATCATGTGT